TTGGGACATGTGGAGATTTGGGACATGTGGAAATTTGAGATGTGGAGATTTGGGACGTGGTGATTTGGGATATGTGGAAACTTGGGATGTGGAGATTTGGGACATGTGGAAATTTGGGATGTGGAGATTTGGGACGTGGAGATTTGGGACGTGGAGATTTGGGATGTGGAGTTTGGGATGTGGAAATTTGAGATGCAAAAGTTTGGGATATGAATGTATATAGAGACATCAATATCTACAGCTTCAGCATCAAGCTACATGACAATGTCAGCCATGAAATATTCAGAAACATCTATACTTAGAAATCCATCTCATCCTCTAACTATTTCACTCAAACTGACTAAAATACTTTCAATCATACTACATATTACATTTAATCAGTGTAAATCGAAGACACAATTCATTACCTATCTAGCAATACACTCAAATACCAATACACATACCCTACACTTAAGAATTTGTCTCTCGAAGAAGATAGACCCGAAAGTAGAAGCAACACAGAATGAAATCCGTCTGAAAATATATCGAGTTCCTAGAACACCAAGTGGTTCGGCTTCAACGGAATCAATTAAAATCGCCATGTACAATGCACGAATAAAGGGGTCGAATTAACCAGACTGATGCGTTCAAACGGGAGTCTGATGCTCGCCAACGGAATAATGAAACGCTAACGAATCGCAAAAAGCAGCTGGCTCGCGTTAAGCTGACTCGTTAATCAATTAGCGGAGAGGATTCGATCGTTAATCAGCCGGATGTCTCCTCCGAGGAGATCCGCGGACGGGACACGGTATCCCGATTAATAGAACGAAGTCCGCGCAAGAAAAATAAAAAGAGAGCAATGACGAACGGGAAGAATAGAGAAAGGAGGACACGAAACCAACGTGAATTATCTAGATCTCGAGGAGTCGTTGGACGAAGACGCGTAACTGACCGGACTTGGTTCGTGCAATTGATTTCGTGATTTATGACATCGATCGCATCGTCAGTTGCTGGAACGGTCGCTTTTTAATCGGTAACTCCTTTTCGAATCGTGACTTATATCGTTTCTCGATAAAACCTGAAACTTCCGTATCGCTTCTTCTGTTGTCTATATAGAGTGCTGTGAAATGCTTGGTATCTTTTTAATTGCGATTAAAGACTCAATTGGAATTATGAGGATTTGAAGTACCCAGTACTTGGTACTTAGATAATGATGTTCGTGTATCCTCAATTTGTAGATTACAAATTAATTGTCTCTAAATATGTAGTTCTTGATGTTACATTATTCCGAGTCTTCTTTTTTGGTTTTGGAAAAGAGAAGTTTGTTTACAGACACCTAGGAAAATGACCCAGGTGGTTCCATTATTTTGTATCTGCAGGTTTTGCATCTGAATGTCCTCAAACCTTAAAATTACCAAATCTTAACCCTTTGCACTTGAAGATAATTTTAATGTTTGCTAACAGCAACATTAAAATGTTAATTAAAATGTTAAATGAGTTTCAGGTTATTTCTCTATTAATAATTTCCACTATTGTCTATTTCCCTATGCTTATACATCACACGAGTACTGTTATAAAATTAGTTAAACAATGCTTATTTCAAATTATTGTCTCAAGTCGAATGGTGCATGAGAGAAACCTCTAAACCCTAAACTATCTTAAACAACAACCATACTAAAAAATAATTATACCTATAATTATCCTTCAGTATTTATGGTACCAATATACAATTATGTTTTAACCTCTGAGGAAATCAATCGTCGCATATATGGAAGTGCAATTAGAGGACAATTAGAGTCAAAGATCTCCGTGAACAAATACGCCATAACAAGTACAATATCTCGAATGTTGGTCAGTCGAGTGACGAGTTAACCCGTCGTGCTCGTTTAACGGGTTAAACGACCACAGACTGCCACGAGGATTTTACACCGATGTTTGTTACTGAAACTCGTTATGTAAATAATGCTCATAGCGCGGTAATTATTCCCGGACAGGGGCGTGCATAAATTTTCTTGATACCCCTTAAAACAGACTCGTCGATGGGCACCGATGTTTTCGGCGTTTCTCCACCGTGAAAATTTGCATCACCGACAATTTGTCACGCATAGCACGAGTTTACTTCATCGATTTCGATGCTTTCTTCTTTTGGGGTAACATTTTGCGGTGCGTAAATTTCATTACTTAATGGGTCTTTTATGGCGTATTAACGAGTGTCCAAATTTGCAAATTTTCGAATTTCCGAATTCTCAATTTTTCCAAATTTCAAATTTCTCAGATTCCGAATTCCCCAAATTCCAAATTTCTCAGATTCCAAATTCTTCAAATTCCAAATTCCTCAAATTCCAAATCTCCCAAATTCCATATCTCCCAAATTCCAAATTTCTCAAATTCCAAATTCCCCAAATTCCAAATCCCTCAAGTTCCAAATCTCCCAAGTTCCAAATCTCCCAAGTTCCAAATCTCCCAAGTTCTAAATTTCCCAAATTCCAAATTCCCCAAATTCCGAATTGCTCAAATACCAAATTCCCCAAATTCCAATTTCCCCAAATTCCATTTCCCAAATTCGCCATTCCCCGAATTCCGCATTCCCCTAATTCCCCATTTCCCTAATTCCCCATTCCCCAAATTCCCCATTCCCAAAATTCCCCATTCCCCAAATTCCCCATTCCCCAAATTCCCCATTCCCCAAATTCCCCATCACCCAAACTTCCCACCTCCCAAATTCCCCATTCCCCAAGTTCCCCATTTCCCAAATCCCACTCCCCAAAAAAAATCCCTAAACCCTCCACTCCCAAAACTAGAATACTCCTAAATTTCCACCTGACAAAATTCGAGCCGGGATTAAAAAGAAACAAAAAAGTTTGAAAACCTACCCGTCAGAATCAACAGATGGTTATTCCCGTCGACACCGTCGTTATGGAAGTTGACCGTGTCGGTGTACAAGGTTGAAGAACGGGGACAGTTTTGATCGGATTACAGCGTCGTCCTCGTCTTTCAGGATGACCGAAACCGACGAGCGGATGAACGAATAAAGCCAGGAAGGAATCACAAGGGAAATAAGGGCTGTCGAAGGAAGAGATGGTGGTAGAGTGGCTCTGTCCTGGACTTAGGCCGACCGGAAGCCGTAGGCCACGTCTTCTCCACTGCAAGGTGATACTCCTCGACGAACACGAACTCTTGCAGGATGTCTTGGTGAGTCCCCATATATCATCTCTCTTCTAACATTTATCTTCCAACGAAAACTGTACAAATTTCTGATAGGATAAATGTCATGGTACGATTAAAATTCTTTGATATATAGATGCAGAGGGTTAGTCCCTTGACTTATGTGTGTTGCTAGACTGTTGACATATGGTATGGTTCTTCGAAGATTTAAACTCTATTTACTGTAGGATTACATTTTGGATTTGGTAATCATTATAATTTGAATAACTAAAGATTGATCAATTTTAAATATACTCAACATGTCAGTTTTCTTTATTTATTTCCACGTTGTAATAATTATTTAACTTTGATACGATGACGTATAGGTTAAGGGGTAGAAAGAATGTTAATATGATTTACTCTAACTAAAAATAGATTCAGTACTATTTATGCACTTTAAATGATTTTGAAGGTTAAGTACGATTCTAAATATTTGCAAGAGCTCATAAATGATTAATATATCGTAATTGATATCATGAATGAATATGCTGTTTAATGCTATGTTTGATACCGTCTTATATGGAGTTGAATTCGACTTTTTATGCACACGACCTAGTAACAGGCGAGCAGAAATTTCGTACACCCACACGTAGGCCTTTTCTGGCAATAGAAATCAAGAATATAAAAGGTGGGCAGACAATGTGGGCGAACTCTCGCGCCGCGAACATGTGTTCCCTCGTGTACACCCTTAATAATCATTTTATGGTAGATAAAAGCTTTTCAAGCTATTTATGGACTCAAGCTCGTGTCTCCTGCCAGCACGAAAATCACTGCGCTTAGTTTCATTAGTTTTGTTCGTTTTTTCATTTTTAAGCGGAATTTTTTATGATTTTGTTTAATCGAGTTTCTACATTTTAGTTTTTATTTTTACATTTCATGAAGTTTATGTTTTACGATTTTTATGTTTCGCAATTTTTTAATTTCAGGATTTTTATATCACGATTTTAAGTTTTTAGGATGTTCATATTTTACGAGTTTAATTTTTCACGATTTTTACGTTTTATAATTTTCACATTTCACAATTTTCTCGTTTCATAATTTTTACATTTTATAATTTTAAATGATAAAGTTTATCTGTTTTCATATTTTACAGTTGTTCAATGTTGAAGTTTCTAAACTTCAAAATTTCTGAAGTTCTAGATCGGAAAATTTTTACAAAACAAAAATTCCAAACTTCCAAATATAAAGTCAGTGAATGACACAAGCAGGGTCCAAGTTATTCCGACTAAAACGAATCGCGAGATTACGGTGTCTGCGAGTGCATCATAATTGAGACACCTGTTAAATCGATACCTTCTGTCAGAAAAGAGCGCCAGTCATTTCGCTCCTCTTAATGAGCGTACGTGATGGGCATATCGATAGTTATCGGGCCTCTCTCCTCGCGCTGTATTTGATCACGTTAATAGCTTTCTTTTACCGGCGTTTGTTCCAGTTAAACTTTTAATTAATTTAAAATTCGTATACCTATTTATTACGCTATTTATTTCAATCATCGCGAGCAATATTTTGACGGTATAATTTAACAGGTAACAAAAATCGATGTACGTAATAATGGTACATCATCGAACATGTTAATAATGTTCGATCATCGATTCCATCAATAAATGGAATATTTCGCTTAATCGAACCGAAAAAGGGATATTTGTAGCCGGGTAGAGAATTACGAAGACAAGAATGCAATATCTACGGGCAAAAGCAATTAACAGGATGCTCATTACGCGACGCGTCTGCACGAAATTGCCCCATGAACCGATAATCATTCTAAAATAGACGAGCATCGCCCACTTTTGGTAATGGAGGTCTTAAGTGCCGGGTAAAGCGGGGCCTTCGTGAAAATGATTTACCATTTTTCTCGAAATTACGTCGCCTCGTACCTTACGGAAACAAATGGAAACACCAAATGTGCGATGGACGCTTCTTTTGTGCTCGCTTAGAGAATTCGTTTAATTCACTCGCAACACTTTGCGCGATATTAAATTACGCGAAACGAAATTTATGTTGGGGTGAATTGTACGATGAAAGACACGTGTTTTATGGTAGACACTTTTCTCGTTGAATGAAAAGGGTTTCGATTTACTTTCTTTTCAGATTTTGAAATTTGGGTCGAAGGTTTGGTAACTGGGAAATTTTTAAGTTTAGGAATTTTGGGTTTCGGGAAATTTGGAGATTTGGAAGTTAGGAAACGTACAAAGCATAGAAATGTTTAATTTTCAAAATTTCCAGTTTCCCAATTTTCGATCTTCACATTTTCCAATTTTTCTATCCGCTAATTTTTCCAGTTTCCTATTCTTCAGTTTTTTAATTTTTTAATTATTCAATTCTTCAATTTTTCAGTTCGTCAATCCTTCAATTCAATTTTGTAATTCAATTCTGCAATTCAATTCTGCAATTCAATTCTGCAATTCAATTTTTCAATTCAATTCTTCAATTCAATTTTTCAATTCAATTCTTCAATTCAACTCTACAATTCAATTTTACAATTTAATTCAATTTTCCAATTCTACAATTCAATTCAATTCTTCAATTCAATCCTTCAATTCAATCCTTCAATTCAATCCTTCAATTCAATCCTTCAATTCAATCCTTCAATTCAATCCTTCAATTCAATCCTTCAATTCAATCCTTCAATTCAATCCTTCAATTCAATCCTTCAATTCAATCCTTCAATTCAATCCTTCAATTCAATCCTTCAATTCAATCCTTCAATTCAATCCTTCAATTCAATCCTTCAATTCAATCCTTCAATTCAATCCTTCAATTCAATCCTTCAATTCAATCCTTCAATTCAATCCTTCAATTCAATCCTTCAATTCAATCCTTCAATTCAATCCTTCAATTCAATCCTTCAATTCAATCCTTCAATTCAATCCTTCAATTCAATCCTTCAATTCAATCCTTCAATTCAATCCTTCAATTCAATCCTTCAATTCAATCCTTCAATTCAATCCTTCAATTCAATCCTTCAATTCAATCCTTCAATTCAATCCTTCAATTCAATCCTTCAATTCAATCCTTCAATTCAATTCTTCAATTCTACAATGCAACTAACTGATTGGTTAATTTTGAACATAAAAAGATTTCTTTAAACATAAGAATTTAAAAACCTTGAAATTCAAAGATGCTTAACTTCCTATAGTCACATAGAAATGAAGCTTAAAAGGTTTGCACCCGAGACTGCCGCCAATCGAGACGTTCATCGATCGATTTTCGGTACCTTTATCGATAAGAACTATCGTCGTCGCGCGTTTTGAATCGCTATGAATAAAAGCCGGTTCTCATCGCGACGACCACCAGGCAGAGAAAATGTGAAATTACCGATCGTAATTGGCCATCTCGACGGGCATTAATGGCGGGTCGATGGAGCAGAACTCGGATCGTTGTTTTCTTCGAGCGGGCTCACGAGGATCGATCGAGATCACGGAGAGCCGGGGGCACGGTTTTATTCGGTGGCAAATTAACGACTGTTTGGCGCGTGGGAGAGCGAAATCCCGCGGATAAACTGGCCGACGAAGGCTTATGATTTAATGATGCACCGCGATACGGCTTAATTGCCATCAAGATCGCAGCGGTAGAAAGGATCTCGCTTATATTATTGACGGTTTCGCGTTCATTGATGCTTGCATCGGTGAATAACGGCCTGTGAACACCTTTCTCCAGCTTTTCATTAACCACTCGTTACACCGTATTTTTCAACTCGGAGAAAATACATTTTTCAACTCCTGCGGACCGAGAAACATATTTTTATGCTCTTGTGAATTGACAAGTACATTCATTTATTCTTGGTAGTTGGAAGATATATTATTTTACTTTGGGATATATTATCTTATATTATTATTTAATAAATATTTTTTAACTCCTGCAAGTTATTTAATTGTTTAACTGTTGCAAGTTGAAAAATGGCCCAGGGCTTTTGTTACAATTTTTTTCAAATTTTGATACGTTTGTGAAGTATGTCTAAAAATTGTTGATAAATGTATTTAATGAAGTACAAATCTCTCTTTGTACAATATTATTTTATACAGCACAATCGCAACAATATTGTTGTTTTTAATTTTACCAATTTTTAACCAAATTTCTATGTCCACATTTTCAAGCTTCCCAATGTGGAAGCTCAAAGAACTCGAATATTAAAAGCATACAAGTCTAAATATTTAAAATTTGTATTCTATTAAAATTAAATCGAATATTCAATCGTAACATTATTGATACGAAACTGCTTTCGAACGAAAATCCACTAAACCGTATTCGACGCAAGGAATACGAAAAACAAAATGGTCGCCGTGACACATAGGCCCGGTGAGCACGGTACTGTGAACGGAGCCTCAGGTCTGAAACATCAATCAGTAGCAAAGTAATAGCCAGCTCTAAATCGTCGTGATCAAAAAGACCCGCGGTGTTTCGCGTGCACTTAATGGTAGGATCGGCGAAGAAAAACTTGATCCTAAGAGAACATACTCGATTCCGTGTAAGTCGCAGTCTTGCCAAGTCTCCTAGCATCGCGTGATACCGTGTCGTCGAAAATATGCCGATACCGTGGAGCGTTTTCAACGGGCTGCAGGGCCAAACGCGGCTGAAAGGGTGTCCTTTTCAATGTAAATCGTTCGCCTGTATATTTGCCATAGATTGGACCGTATGAATGAATTTCGCAACAGGCAATATCCCTGGAGCGACGAGGGCCACCTCTTATTATTGCGATAAACCTTTGTGTGTTTACGGTTTACGCGATGCAATATATACGAGGCATTGTATCGCGGTGCTCCTAAATCATACCGACAACAAATAACCGTTTTGCTTCGTAATTTCCCGGAAGTGTGTATTGTTACAAATGGGGATATTTATGCGATTCGGACTAGGGACAATATGGGCGCACGTGGCGACGCTGGGCTCTGTTTTATTAACACGTTCGGACTATTTTTCACGTGCTCGATATTTGGGCTGATTTAGTGATCTATAGATACTTTAATATTTTTTTTATTACTTGTATGTTT